TCTTCCTCCCTCCCTCCCTCCCTCTCCCTCCCTCCATCCTCTTCCATCCCTCTTTCCTCCCACCCTCTCTCCCTTCCTCCTTCCTTCCTTTCTCTCTCCCTCCCTTCCTCTCCTTCATTCCTCCCTCTCTCTCCCCCTCCCACCCTCCTTCCTTCCTCCCTCTCTTTTTCCCTCCCTCCCTCCATAGATGAATGTCATCCAGAAAAAAATTCCTTTTTTAAAAGTGACATTCAGAGGATGTCTGCTTAGTTTAAAAGCCAGCTTCCTCATCCTTGTAATAACTGGGAAAAAAACATTATGATCTCTGCTAGGTACATGATTAATTTTTAGCAACAGAAGGAAGGCAGAAAGATTTAGTTTGTCAGTGAATGGAATCATTTTTTTTTAAAAAAAATGCCTAAACTGTTATTCCTATTTGTGGTATTTGCGTGACTCCAGAACGTGGTCCTTCTCCTAATCCATGATTTCAAAATGCAAGATACTTTGAAAATGAGAATTGTTCTTTTTCCATATTCAGAATGGCACAAAAGCAGGCAGACGTGGCCAGTGTACAGGTCCTGGCACAGAGAAGAAGAGGAGAAAATTGTTTGATTCTAGTTTCAATGTAAACATATCCAATTCTCATTTTTGAACTTAGGCATGTACCAGATTCCCAGCTACGCAGGCAAAGCCTAACTTAACAACACAAATCCATGTGTACAAAAATGTAGAGAAAGGTACATACAAAGATGGGCATATTAGAGGAGAGTATGCAGAAAGGCATCATATAATAAGAGAAGATGATTGAAAAGAAATGTTCAAACAGTACTCGGAGCAGTGCATGTAATAAGGCATTGATACTGCCAAGATACTGTACGTGCTAATATCTGTTTTTTCGTTAAAAACAAACCACAAACAGATGTGAAAACAATACAGGAAAGACTTGAGATTCAAAAACCAAGCATGATAAAGCTTGGCAGACTTGTTCAGGGCAGACAGATCTTGCAAAATGGGAATATAGATCTCTAGAGGGGGGCACGTGTCTTTCCTTGTGCTCACTTGTGATCAATGGGTACTCGGATCCAGAGAAATTCCATAGGTGAATGGTTCTCAACCTTTTCTTCACCATGGACCCCCTTTAAATACCTTTTGTGACCATGCACCACAGACCCCCAAGACTTAACTCAAGATTTAAATCATAAAAGTTCTTCAAACCTTCATGGACCCCCTGTGACGACATCGGTCTCCCCAGTGGCCCGTGGACCACAGGTTGAGAATCACTGCTGTAGATGATTCTTTTCCTTTGGATTGATCTGACCCTGTCCGTCATGGAGCATTGAGTGTGAATCATTGACTTAAACTGCCAATCTCTTCCGGTTCTCTTGCTTTGCCCCTTCCCAGGAAGGAAATCTCAAATGGAGGAAGTTCAAGATGAACTCATTCACCGCCTTACCATCGGTCGGAGTGCTGCCCAAAAGAAGTTCCAAGTGCCACGCTCCAGTGCCCCCGTAGTCAATATCAACTACGAATCTTCTCCAGAAGACATTAAAGTTTGGCTTCAGGCCAAAGGATTCAACTCAGTGTAAGTCCAAAGGCATAACCAGCTGTTTTGAATTAACCACAGCTTCAAACAGCCGTATGTATGTTTAGACAAATGACTTTGGACCTGAGCGGTATAATGTAAAAATTATTTCATGTTGAGTTACATGAATGCGTAATTACAATGTTTCCCGATATGATTGGGAAGTTATTGCCATGTAGGAGATGACCAGGCTGAGCCTGAGGGAGGGGTCAAGTACGTCATCAATCATGAGTCCCTGCACGCCCACAAGAGACCTAAGTCCAGCCCACTTTGACTGCCCTCTCTTATCTCCCGCTCATTTCCCTTGACCGTTAGTAGTTCAGATTCTTGTTGAGAGATTAAGCTTGAAATAAATCTTTATACTCATTGGGATTTGAACTGCTTGAAATTGCTGATCTCCCCGGTGCTTGACATTCCATTTATTTAGTTTTTTTTTAATTTATTTATTCATCAAACAAAAATTACAAATTCGAACAAACAAAATGAAAAAACTAAAATGTGACGGGGATGATAAGCACATTAGTGCACTTACACACGCCCCCTTAGGAACCTTTTAGATACGAGATGAGTTTCATATGAGGCCTAGATGCTGTTGGATTCCAATTTTTATCGTTCCCAATTAGCGTGGTTAGTTAAGCCATGAAATAAGGAATTATAGCTCAATAGCATCTGAAAGATCACAGGGTCCTTCCTTCGCCTGCTTCTGTTGACTAATTAGCATCTGTTCTCTCAGATGTAAAAGGGTCATTGCTCATACATTATTACTATTCATGCAGGACCGTGAACAGCCTTGGAGTTTTGACTGGTGCACAACTGTTTTCCCTCAACAAAGATGAACTTAAATCTGTGTGTCCAGAAGGCGCTCGAGTCTACAGCCAAATTACTGTTCAGAAGGCGACACTAGAGGTACGTGTCAACGCTATTAATATAGGATATTATTGCTTTGACAAGATATACAGAACTGTCTGGTATTTTTAGAGTTAATTCAGATGACAGAGTGAGGGAGGAGATTCATAAAAAAAAGCCCGGGAAAAGGAACGGAAGTGAATCTTTGCCCTCCGGGCTAATTGGAAGATGTGACTTATGACTGCAAAATAAGGGAGGGGTTTAGAAAGAAAAGTTAGACACAAGCAAGAGAAATTCAGATTCTGGCATACATCCATGATGTGCTATCGATTTGTTACACTGTTAATAAAGACTTTAGGATAAACATGCCTGGAAGTTCTTTGAAGTGTTTCATTAGTCGGAACCATGACAGTACGTCCTGAACAAGTTATTCATCTACCGTGTTGTAGCTACAGGACGTGGTCACCCCAGGCAAAGAAGTGTTCATGGAGGGAAGTTCACTCTTGATAGAGAGATGGACAGCATATAAATTTAATAAATAAACAAAGGAGGGAATTTGCCTGCCTTGGACCAGGAGCAAGAAGCTATTGCATCGGAAGACCCATCATTTTTGTTGGCCTTTAAAGGCTCTAGGTAGGGTGTTAATGTTACTGGTGAAGATGGGGCCAAGATTTTCCTTTCATTTTTTTTCAGGGGAGGGGTAAAGGTTGAAGTACGTGACTTAAGTCTTGGAGAGACACTCGTGTTACCCCAAGAGAGCACTCACTTTTAGAAGTCTTGGGGTTTTTAAAGCTACCTCCATCTTTTGCAGATATTAAGGCAACTCTTTTTTTATACTTAACCATCCACTTCAAAGGCTGAAAACATGAGGTGGTCTGGGGGTGCTTTGGAGACAGCAAGCCCACAGTCGACAGATGTTGATTTTTAGCCTATGTCATAATAGTAAACTATGGTTTAGTATTGCATCCAAATCATCCCACTGAGTCATGCATGTGACTATCATATTTTTTTGCTTGAGAGGTTGAATAAAATTAACTTTCCAGGTTTCGTGTCTATGGAGATTCTCAATCGTCCAGATCACGGTTGTCCCAAAGGTGCTTTTCCAAAACGCAACTGGATGTTCTTGTTTTTTCTTGGAACATGTTTTGCTTCTCATCCAAGAAGCTTCTTCAGTTCAACTAAAAAAGCTTCTTGGATGAGAAGCGAAACATTTTAAAAAAAAAACAAACAAGAAAGTCCAGTTGCCTTTTGGAAAAGCACCTTTGAGATTTCCAGGTTTTATATTGTATACTGGATTTGACTCAGAAAAGTATATTTCTGCAACATATATATATATATATTTGTCTATACCTGCAGAATTCCAGTGGAAGTTCAGAACTGCAAGAGATCATGAAAAGACGGAAAGAGAAACTTAACGCGGCTGCCACAGATTCAGGAGTCGAATCTTTCGATGAGAGCAGTGGTCNATATATATATTTCACCTACTTATGTAGAATAATATTTTGTGGAGTTAGGGATATTAATAGTAGTTTACTTTTAGTTGAATAGTATCCTGGGATTAGGTTTGGGAAGTCCGGGGGGGTGGGGGTGGGGCTTTTATTATAGCATTGTGATGTACTTGTGATGTGTTTTTTTTATGATGAAAATAATAAAAATTTATACTTGAAAAAAAAATATATACCATAACACATTTCATTCTATTTTTGTGTCTTAGCCCAATGTGATATAGACAATATCAGTTTCATTTTGTTTCTTGGCACATGGTGATCACCGGTAATAGTAAAGATACCATTTTTAAAAAATTATCAAGCAATCGCCATGATCAAGAGCTAATGAATATCACTTAACATGCCAAAACGTTGTTTGATTTATGATAGCAGTTCTAAGTTTAGAAGTCTTTTTAGAACTTTGCTAAAGTTAAGACTAATTTGCATTGATTGACTTTTTTTCCCTCACAGCAGTTACTAGGAGAACTCTCTGAGGTAATTCAGATTGCTTGAAATGATAAATGATTTTTAAAAGATTTGGGGAAGAGTGTTAATTAAGTGTGTTGGACTTCTTGATATTTTGTTTTCTGTCTCCACCCAAATCAATGTCTTGTAACTTACAATCAAACCTATCCTATTCCTATACTTCAGGGAAAGCATTGGTAGGCAGAGCACATAAAAGAAATAAGAAGTCATAAGCCAAAACCGTTCCGTTCATGACACGAGTAAAAGAAAATGAATCGCAGCTAAAACTAGTTTACACCAACACTAGGATCTATGACAATTTGTCATGGCCAACACACCATGTCCAACTCACTTCGAGACAACTTGCCATGGCCAACTTGGTACAGGACATCTTCCTGCGGGATAAGAGTTGTACTAATATCAAAGAAATGGTGGAATAGAATCATTAAAGAAAGGATGCCAAAGGAGTGGCAGGATGAAATGTAAATGGCAAAAATTAAAAGCTTTTTTTATTTATTTTAAACTAGCTGTATCCAGCCATGCGTTGCTGTGGCTCAGTCTGGTAAAAGCGTGTGTTGCTTTTACGTCCAACAGATGGCGCTGTTTTTCAAAAAAAGCATGTTTTTACCTGTCACAGGTGTGACATCTATATAATATAAGTATATAAAAACACGCGCGTATTCGAATGCAACGTTGTGTCAAAATTTCAAAGCAATCGGTGAAGAACTTTCAGAGATTTAAGATTTTGAACAAACAAACATTTACATTTTTATTTATATAGATAATTAAACAGAAGTTGTCCTGCAGCAAGTTGGCTGTGGTGAGTTGGCTGTGGCAAATTGTCCCATTCCGCCAACACTATTCACTCTATCAATAGAAGAGAGTTTTGTAGCTCAGGGATGCAGGGTCCTTAGTGTTCTCACAGCTAGGTTGTTTTCTTGCAGATTCATTACCCAACTAGGTAACATCATCAATGCTGGAAAGGAGTGGGGTTTAGATATTCTTTATCTCTGACCATCCTAGACCAGTGGTGGCGAACCTATGGCACTCGTGCCAGAGGTGGCACTCAGAGCCCTCTCTGTGGGCATGTGTGCCGTCGCCCAAGCCCCGCCTCCCCCTGCGGCCCCCTCCTCACCAGCAGCCCCCCAGAGGAGAGTTGTCGCTGGGCGCGCCCCGCACAGAGCAGCATAGCCAAGCACATGGCAGCTGGGCAGCAGGGACAAGACTCCACCCTCGCACCCTGTCGCATGCAGATGATGCATTGGGGTGCAGGTGGAGGGCGTGGCCAACATGGCGCTGCAGGACCGCCTGGGCGATCTGCGGCAGGTTGTGGGGGTGATGGGTGGCCCTGCAGGCAGGCGGGGCAGGGGACGGAGCGGGGTTGGGGCACTCGGTCTCTAAACTTGGTCCTAGACCAAGTTAAGCTAAGTCCAAAATTGCTAGAGATATTCCTAGAAGCCTGGCACTCAGAAAAATCAGCCATCAACAGACACATAGAGATAAACAACATCTACATACCATTTAAAAGAGATAATCAAAAGGCTAAGAGACCACAACACCTCCTGACTAGCAATCAACAACCAGATAATGCCAAGCAGTCAACAACACCCCAGTCAAGGAATTACCAACTTAGTAAACAACAGCCTAATCAAGCAACCGCCAAGAACACTCCCACCAATACTGACAAGGCAAACCACTGTATATAAATAGAGGACAAACCCCACTTCCTTCTAGTGCTGATAAAGTTACCTATTTGGGTAATGAAATGTCTTCAAAAAAAACCACCCATGCTCAGAGATCACCAAGGTCCCCACACTATTCACTCTCCTTCTCCATACCTTTTTATCCTACCCAACTATTTTACATTTCACCATATCCATACTCTACTTTCTTTATGGCAATTTTCCAATTCCAGTCTTTGAGTCCTAAATGGAAGTGAACATATGAAATTGCCAAACACGTACATAATTATTCTCTATTCGTGACAAAGAAATTTGATACTGTTATGTGCTTGGAGTTATAGCCTGGTTTGTTTGTAAGGACCTTTTAAATTGTCTAGTCTTTCCTTTTTTCTTAAAAATAGGGGGGTGTTTAGGAAACTGTGGACAGCTTGGCCTTCATGATTTCATTTCTTTGCCTTCCCTTGAAATTTGTAGAAATGAGTGTGCACCTTATTGTGTTCCTCTAGACGGGATGGTTGAAACAGCAAACATCTGCTTGAAAAAATGCAGATTTTTTCCAAAAGATTTTGAATTAATTCCCTCCACCCCCACTTTGGTAAATGAATCTTCCCTTCTTTTGTACAGAAACAGAGGACGGAGTTTTCTCCAAAGCAACCAGATCCCACGCCGGCTGCTCCTTCACCACCCCAGATGCCGCTTCCGGTCCCTCTCCCTCCCTGCGTCCCAGCTCCTGTCCCCGTTCCAGTGCCAAAGGTCCCGGGGGCCATCAGCCGCCAGAGCAGCACATCAAGCGATGGTGGCCGAGATGCCCAGAGGCAAAAACTGCCACCTGTTGACCGTGAGTTTCTCTCTCCAGGTGCATCTTTGTTTCTTTCAGAATAACTGAATAACAGAGTTGGAAGGGACCCTGGAGGCCTTCTAGTCCAACCCCCTGCTCAAGCAGGAAACCTTAAACCATTTCAGACAAATGGTTATCTAATTTCTTCTTAAAAACCTCCATTGTTGGAGCAACCACAACTTCTGGAGGCAGGTCGTTCCACTGATGATTAGAGAGAGGTCTGACAGAAGGGAGGGAAATTCCTTGTCTTTCAAGCAAGGAATCTCCTTCCCCCCTCCCTCCCCCCTCTCTCTCTCTCTCCTTCCTTCCTCCCTCCTCCTT